AAAGGAGGAGGCTGCAATGCTTGGTAAGAAATGTACGCATTATCCTGCCCATGTAATTGTAACCCCTCTGTACAGTATGTTCACAAATAAAAAACAAATAAATAAATTAAAAAAAAGAAAAATGAACAAAATATATTAATCAAGAAAAGAATTATGGACTAGAAAAACATGTTAGTTACACTGTTGAGTATCTTACTCTGTAAAGAAGGAGGGGTTTTGGATGGGTGGATTTTATCATTGAATAAAATCTAAGCTAAAAAAAAAAAAAGAACACTAGCCATGGCCTGACATCCAGAGTGGGATATGCTTGTCTCATGGCTGCAGCACACAGCCTGCTTTCTTGTGATCTAGAATCACCAGCCTTGCCTGGCATGTGTTCCCATGCAATGCATGGGCCTCCTTCCTGCTTATGCTTTTGTAATGGCTTTGTGGTACTGGGCTGGGCCACCACACTTACCAAACTCCAACAAAGCATTGCCAGGAACTAAGGGCAGACTGGTTTCACAGATATTTTAGCAACATCCTTTCTTCTCTCTGTTAGTTTGGATTTTATATAAGTGTGCCTAAATTTAGACTGTCCTGATGTGTCCTGAGAGAATTCTCTGGGTTTGGGATTTGTGTGTGTGTGTGTGTGTGTGTGTGTGTGTTTTGGTGGTAGTGGTTGTCATTTGTTTGTTTGGTCCTGGGGTTTGAACTCAGGGACTCATCCTTGCTAGGCAGTCACTTTACCACATGAGCTCTGTAGCCCAGCCCATTTTTGCTTTAGTTATTTTTCAGATTGAATCTTGTGTTTTTGTCAAGAACCAGCCTAGGACTTTGATCTTCTTACCTGCTATTTCCATGTACCTTGGATTACAGGAGTATCATACCCAAGTTGTTAGTGAGATGAAATCTCATCAACAAGGTTGATTTTGAGACCCAGGCTGACTTCAGCTCTTAATCTTCTGCTCTCTGCTTCCAGAGTTGCTGAGACTACAAGTATGTGCCACAGTATGCTAACAACTCTGTTTTAAAGGATTTCAGGGTCACTCTCTTTTTAGACAATCATTGCATCTATAAAAGTCATCCTCTATCATCTCTTTTGTGAGCCCATATTTTTTTCCCAATCAATTTGCACAGAGGAATTTAATTTCAATTTGGTTAACAGATACATTTGCTCTGTAAAGGACATTTTCAAAAGTACTACATTGTGTAAATGGATGCATGACAATTATCAAATGATAGCATGTAAGTACAGTAAGAAAAATGGCTAGTGTTCCGGATGGGTTATTGTACATGTATAGATGAGTTACAGTGATTAAAATGCCTTATTTTGTCTCAAAAAAATCAATGTAGAAAAGTTAGCACTAGGAGATAAGAAGGATAATTTATTGTGTGCATATTATGTGTGGTCCTGGAGTATTGTAACATGAAATGCAACTCTTTATGGGATTTGAACCTGCTGGATATCACATTGACCCAACCCAGCTGAAGTCTTAGCTACCCTACTGCTGCAAGGAGTGAGTCAGTATGGTAAAGTACAACACAGCATCTAACTCTGCATCCATATGATGGTGAGCACTCAAAATTAGCTGCACCTATATCTTACTCCATTGACTTCTGTGAAGTAGGCATTGTTCTTTTCATAGACGAGACTGTCTGCATAAAGGTTTTGGGAGTATACTGCAAAGAATCCAGGGCTTGCCTGGGCACTGTCATTAAACCTCTAATTAAAAAGCTACAGTGTGACACAAATGGTAAACCCTGAGTTCAAACTCCAGTGCAGCCCTATACCTCCAAGCAAAACCAAAATCAAAACCGGAGGAGGAGAAGGAGGAGGAAGAGGAATAAAGCTGTCATATGATCCGGCTTTACCACTGTTTGGTGTAGATCCAAAGTAATGAAATTTGGATACAGTAGAAGTGCCTGTACAACTCTTGTTCATTCCAGCACTATTCACAAAAGCTAAGCTATCCGATAACTAATGAGTGCAGCAAGAAAGTGTTGTATGTGTGTATATGTATGGCTTTTGAAGTATTCAGCCATAAACAAGAATAGTTAACGGGGAAATTGAGATCATCATGTTACAGGATATAAGCCACGTTCAAAAGGACAAAGGTCACATGGGTTTTTTCATATGTGGAAGTTGGATCTAAAAGATAAACATACACACAGATACACAGAGGACCGCATATGTATATATGTACACACAAAAAACATTTGTAATGGTATCTGTCTGAGGGGATTATGAGGTAGGGAGGAAAAAGAGGGTGAACAATTTACAAAATGTGGCACATCTGTTAATGAAGATACTAAAACAAAACCCAGTGGAAGCTATTGAATGATCAGGGGTTATGGGTATGGTAAATGTGAGATTAAATGAAGGGGTCAATCTAATTAAAATATATGCACACATGAAATACCACAGTGAACCCCTTTGGACAGCTAACATACACTAAAAAAAATGAATGGCAGGAATATAAAACAGTTCCTGTCAGGAGTATAGGGTACCATTGGGAGAAGAAAGGGCTAATGAAGGAAGAGGATGAAGGAGAATGAATATGGTCAGAATATGTACACTGGTGAAAATGGAAGAAGAAAATGTGCTTTGAGGTTGGTTTGGGAAGAATGGAATGTAGACAAGGAAGACAGAGTGGGTGAGGGTGAGCAAGGTACATTATATATATATATATATATATATACATACATATACATATACATATATACATACATATATACATATACTTATATATATACACATATGTGAATATATATATATATATGTATGTATGTCAGAATGAAACCTGATAAAACTGATGAAACAAAACCAAACAGGAATTGTTGCTTTAGATTGTCAGTAAAATTTATGCTGGGACTTTCCTATGATAAGAAAGACCATCCCAGCTAGAATGATACCTCTGCTGAAAGATAAAACTACCCTTACATACAACAAATTTACAATAAATCTCTCTAAATTAGAAAAACTTCCAAAGGACCAGCTTCAACATGTCACCACTTCTTAAAGTCTTTTTTTCCCAGTAGATATCAAATTCTGCACTATGTGGCTAGATCTATGTTTCGCCCAAATGCCTGAATATAATGCATGATATGTGATAAACACTAGCAATACTTTTGCTGGGTAAATGTTGTCATCTATGTAAATGTCAACTTGTAATACAAGCTTAAGGACATTCTAGTTGCATCCAGAGGGAAACCTTTAGGGTTGTTTCTTTTTTCTTTCTTGGGGTGGGAGGTGAGTTTTTAATTAGCTACTCTGATTTTCATCTACTCTTATGTTTTGGCACCAGATGATGCTGGGTATCCCATCTCTTGACCATACTGATCAGGCTGGATCTTAGTTATCAATCAAATAGTCCTGGGCATATGCTTCAACTATGAACATTTCTGGTTTCATCCTGAAGGTGCTGCTTCTGCTCTGTCCATATTCACTGCATATGGGCTGCTGTAGAACAATGGTTGAACTTTTTTTTTTTTTGGTTGTGAGGCTTAAATTCAGGATCTGGGCACTGTCCCTGTGCTCTTTTGCTCAAGGCTAGCTCTCTACCACTTGGAGTCACAGCTCCACTTCCAGTTTTTAGGTAGTTAATTGGAAATACGAGTCTCATGGGGGCTGGGATGTGGCTCAGTGGCAAAGAGCTTGCCTAGCAAGTACAACGTCCTGGGTTTGATCCACAGTACCAAAAAAGAAAAGACAAAAAAAATACAGTTAAAAAAACCCAAATAAACAAACAAAAAACCAACCCTTAAAAAAAAAGAGTCTCATGGCCTTTCCTGCTCAAGTTGGCTTCAAACCAGGATTCTCAGATCTCAGCCTCCTGAGTAGTTAGGATTATAGGAATAAGCACCTAGCACTTAGTACTTTAAACAGTGAAAGAGTTCAGTAGCAAATTCATCTTTGTACTAATATAGGATACTGCTTTGCTGTGTGGAAATCTTAGACAAGATACAGGTAGGAATGTGGCCGTGAAATAGGTCAATGTCCTTTTCCTTTGAATGAGTGGTATATGCAAAAGAGAATGGAAGAAAACTTGAGTTCTACAAATGAGTGTGGGCTTAATATAAAGATAGTACAACACAAGAATTGGGGCTGAATGTCACATGGTTTTCATTGCAGTTTACTGCCTAACACTTAATCTAGTCAAAATATTTTCCTTCACAACATTGCTACCTTCCAAATAACTCAGATGCCTAACTATATATTCTGCCATCTAAATTTATATCTGCAGTAAGGCACTGAGCATGCGCATCAAAATCGATGCAAATGAAGGAACTCACACCCCGCGATACTGTTATGGCTGTGACAATTTAAGAAGCCACACATCACCTCACTTGAGCTGTTCTGTGTTCTCTTTCCAGGGTTCAGCAGATTCCTATACAAGCAGGCCATCTGACTCCGATGTCTCTTTGGAGGAGGACAGGGAAGCGATTCGGCAGGAGAGGGAGCAGCAAGCAGCTATCCAGCTTGAGAGAGCAAAGGTGACTTTCTGCCCTTTCTTTGGTTCACAGCTGACCTGTTGCTCAGCAGCTGTCAGCGGTCTTTCTCCTGCCTCTCGTTTCTCTAAAATGCTTTCTCACATCCTCGTTCATCCTGACGGTGTTCCAGACTTCAAAGAACTTTTAGTCCATTCTGGTCCAGTTTCTGGTCCATTCACTCCTGAAGGAAGTACTAACATTTTCAGAGGTGCTTTTCCTGAGAACGATACCCTTCTATGTGTGGTTTGGTAAATTATTGTCTCAATGTGACAATATATCAAATTCTCCATGCCAGTGTTGGCCAAGAGCCTTCTAAGAGACTAGTTCATGTCCCCTGTTCTTGACCCTTCCTTGTCCCGTACATATTCTTTCATACAGTTCACACATGCCCTGTTGCTCTGTATTTCCTCATTGGTTCTATTTCTCTATTTCTCAGTTGCAGTCTCCCACTCAAGTTCATTGTGAAGCTCAGAAATTTAGTTTTGTTTGTTTTTATGAGAAAAGAGTCTTGCTATATTGTCCAAGCTACTTTTACACTCATGGGTTCAATGGATCCTTCTGCCTCAGTCTCTCAAGTGAACTGGGATGGAAGGTGTGTACCACTGCCACTAACTAAGTTAAGAACTCAAACAATTCAGATAAGTGAAGCAAAGTTGAGTGGTAAAAGCCATTCCCCAGTAGACCTTTAGCTTCCTCTCTGGACTAGGAATCAACAAGAAGCAGACTACATGGCTCACTAGCGATCTCCCATCCCATGTTTTGCACCTTTTACTTTTAGTGTATATACTCCTTTGTCACATGAAATTTTATGCATAATACCAACATACAGAGGCCAGCCTCTCTTTTGGTCTCCATGATAGACTCCTTCAGCATGTCAACTTAGGTTTTACAATTTTTAGGAGGAAAAAGTCAAGCCCAAATAAAGCGAATCTCTTGAAGCGTGATTCAGGTACATGAAGTGTCTTTGCTTAGACACCAGTACCATCTGTGCTGTGTGGAAGATGATTTTCAGTAGTGAGATTCTAACTTGGGTCCTGCTTCAACTGTGAACCAGTCATATTTCCAGGGCCAAGTACATGATACAGTAACCAGCCAGCCTGTAATTTCAGGGAGTTTGTGTCTCCTATGTGGTTAATGCTTATTTTGATTTTTTTTCTTTCTGTTTTTGCTCTTTTTGGTCACCCACATGCTGATGGCAGCACATTAGCTTAGGCCGGTGGCTTGCTTGGCCCTACCAAGGCTGATCCCAGTCAAATGCACTTTGCAGAGAGAAATGTGTACAAAAAAGTTTCTAAACCAGTTTTTGTTAAGCTATGGAGATAATGCATGAAGTCATGGTGTGGTGCTGATCTCTTAGAATCCCAGCATTTGCGGGAGGTGGATCACAAGTTTGACAGCAACTTGGCCTTCATAGTAAGATGCTGCATGAAGAGCCTTGCTCATCAGCTTTAACCCAGGCTGGCCCTTCTTTCCTAGGACAGCACAATAAATTCTACTGCATATGATCTCATAGATTTTCAGATCTGAGACTATTTCAAACATATTTACTTTCATTCCCCCCCTTTTACATTCATCATGCATTTCGTATATCCCTATGTGGAAGATATCTGTTACCATTTGAGGTAAATGGCTTCTTTTGTGTGTATGTGTGTGCCAGTTCTGGACTTAAACTCAGGGCCTGGGATCTGTCCCTGAGCTTTTGTGCTCAAAGCTAGCACTCTACTACTTGAGCCATAGCTCCACTCCCAGCTTTTTGTGCTTATTTGGAGATAAGAGTCTCACGGACTTCCCTGTCCAGGCTGGCTGTGAATTGAGTACCTAGGATTACAGGTATAAGCTACCAGCACTTGGCTGATCAATAGCTTTTTATGACCAAAGAAGAAGTCAGGTTGTCCCTATCTATGTTATTCAGGATATTGGGAAGTACCAAAGGAGAAGATAAATGGCTAGACTAATAGGACTAGATTATTTTCAGTGTCATCTCTACAGATTTCTGGGTGTGGCCTGGGACAGGAAACCTTAGCTGAGATCCCCCTTTGGAGAGTGATTTCCCTTACTTTCTGGTACCATCAGTCATTGTATGATAGATTTCAACATGAAGAACACTCCTCACTCCCTTACTTCTTATTCTGTGGTTCTGTTCTCCCTAGTCCAAACCTGTAGCATTTGCCGTGAAGACGAATGTCAGCTACTGTGGCGCCCTGGATGAGGATGTGCCTGTTCCAAGCACGGCCATCTCCTTTGATGCAAAGGACTTTCTACACATTAAAGAGGTAAACATAGGCCATGCTGCATCTATTAGTCTGACTAAAAACCAAAGCTGGAAACCAGCTACATGCTGAACCCACCAGAGAATAGATCAGAAGAACTGCCAGTGGGGTGCCTCTTTAGTTTTCTAGGCCTTCTATATCCAAGCTCACCAAAATTGAGAAGCCAGAGATCATTACCTATGTTATTACACACTTAAAACATTGGATCATGGTCAACCTTTCAGATTATAGGATACATTTAGTACAGGCTTGTGCTCTTCTGCCCAGTTCCTTCCATTGTTTGGGATCAAACCTTGTGTGTATTTGATAAGTGCCCTACTATGAAGCTCTCCCCCTGCCCGTCTTTTAATCCCTCTGTGTGGCTGTGGAGCCGTAGATCCAGCTTAGGGAAACATGAGTTGGGTGGTATGTCACCTACCCACAACAAGTGTTTACAAGAGATGTTATAATTACAGGCACTGGATATGATCCTCTGAACTGTGATCTTGGAACCAAAACCAGAATATGTAATCATTTAAAGGCAATAGTAAATCTAAGAAAAGGACAGAAGACTAGGAAAACAGAGAGCTTAAGAGTTTAAGGCCTTACATCTAGGAAGATTGAATAATAATATGACACGCTTCCTTTATTCATCCTAGCTACATTGAAATTCAACTTTCTAGCAGATATTGTGCTGGACATTGGAGAATCAGATGCCATTACTGTCTCCATAAACAGGAAGGCTGAACCTGTAGGAGGATGGGCTGATATGCATGATTCCTACACAGAATGATGTTTTATTATTGGAAAATCAGATGGGTGCTACAGAATTCCAAAGAAAGAGGAGGAGGGGCCATCTGGTGGGAAAGGAGATCAGAGGACCAGAAAGCTCTACAGGGGGGTGGGAAAGGGGTGAAGCCTGAGGGGACTGGGCTAGGCCAGGAAGAGCATCAGGTGAAAGGAATAGCAGTGAGCTGTGCAGTATGGTATGGGGTAGGGGCCTTGTCAGAAAGGCAAAGGCTAGACTGAAGAAAAACTTCTTTGACCATGGCAAGAAGCCTGGTCTTTATCCCCAGGAAGTGGGATAGAGAAGAATCTGAGATAGAGCACAGCTGTGATTGGCCTTTTCTGTTAGAATAATAATAGGAGGGGAAATGAGAATGGCAACATCTGATTCTCCAGTGCCCAGCACTGAGGCCAGACAGAGATGGAGAGAGAAGCAACTTGGAGAAAGAGAGTAAAGGGCAAGTATAAAATATTGGAGATTTTACATGGGTGGGGATAGTGGGAAAAGTGAGGGGAGAGGTCAGAAGACAGTTTTTCTAATGTGCTTAGAAGGACAGAAAGGAATTTCAACCTTTAGTGTCAGCTATCCAAACAGAAAGAGCAGAGAAGGAAGCAGATTTGTTGAAAGGGTCGGTATAGTGATGAACTTCCTTTGGAGCATCCTAGGGGGCTATGTGAACTTTTATATGATATGAACATGCTTACCTCCATCATCTAGAGACTTGAGGAAAAGAGCAATGTTCTCCTCCTAAGTACTGGAATTACAAGAGTACAGCACCATATCTGGCCCACAGGTTGATATTAACATCTGGGGGAGAGGAGAGGTGGATGAGAAAAGAGAGATGGACAAAGGAATAGGTGAGTTGAGGATATCCAGATCTGCCTAAAAGACAAAGACCTTTGACCTGAACATATGCCCCCAGTACCTGAGTAGTTCATTCTGTTACCATTTCCCAAAAATGACCAAGCCATATTCATAAGTTGTTAATACTCATTGTTTCTAAGGAGACATACGTTAAAAAGTAAGCAAAAATGCCAGACACCAGTGGCTTATGCCTATAATCTTAACTACTCAGGAGGATGAGATCTGAGGATCATGGTTTGAGATAAGACAGGAAAGTCTGTGAGACGCTTATCTCCAGTTAACCACCTGATGAGCTGGAAGTAGAGCTGTAGCTCCAGTGGCAGAGCCCTAGCCTTGAGGGGTGGGGATGCCCTGAGTTCAAGCCCTAGGACCAGCACAAAAATAAAACTTGACTAGAGTCATGGCTCAAGTGTTTCAGGGTGGGCAGCACCAGAACAGAGTAAGATTGTGAGGTCCTAAGTGCTCTGAGTTCAAGCTTCCATACCAGCACCCCCGAAAAGGGTCAGAGAAGTCCTTCCATGTTGTATGCATACTCTCCCAAATGTTCCAATAATCTATCAGTATTCTTTTTTTATAAATTATACTCTTAATAGGAAATACTTATGTGTTACAGTATGATCATTTGATAAATGTATACAACACGTAACAAATCAGACTAGTTAACATTGTCAACTCCTTACACTCTTAAAATTCTTTTTGTTTGTCTAATAATAGTTGTACACAGTTGTGGCTTGTAGGGTGATATTTCAATGCATAGATACAATAATACTGTTCAAACCAGTATAATTAACTGTTAGCGAAATGAGTCCCTTCCCTTCCCTTAGTCCACTTCCTCCCTTCTCCATAGCCTCCCTTCTCTATAGCTTACATTGCTCCCTTCCTAGCAAAACCAGGCCCATGTAGAAAAGGCAGTAAATAATCAACTTCCAGCCCTCTTTACCTTGGGATGCCACTTCTCTGGGGAAGCTCCCACCATATAAGGCAACAAGAGCCCCTTAGAGTGACCTTCAGGTCTGGACAATTGCAGGACCCTTATCTACTATTTGGATAGCAGCCATAAATCCTAGTCCGCCATGATGAAGCCCCTGGCTTGTGTCCAAACCAGGGTCTCTGCCTCCTAGCTCCTCCTAAACCCCCTAGGTTATATAAGTCACCCCAGATAATAGCTGGTGCTGCTCATTCCTTGTGAGAAGGAGTCTTGCCAGTCCCCCTCTTCTGGCAATAAACCTTTCTTTGTTCTATGTAACTGGATGTCTGTGTGGTTCTCTGGCAAAGTCTATTAATCATAATTTTGCTAACATTAACATTTTTATCTTCTTGTCATTACTTTGAGTTTGGAGCCTTTTAGGCTTCTCTATCGATATTTTAACTTGTCTTGTTGGTTGCTTTTGGATCTATATGCTTCTTTGATCAGAGACTTTCTCTTCCATCCAGCAGCCTGATGTCTGGTATTGAGCAGGTCATCTTAGGTAGATCAGAGACACTTGTTTTCAGCTGTTGGAAGATCAGATTTTAAAAAAATCTTAGAAAGAGAATATTGTAATCAAAATGGAAAAGATTGAACCAACACTCTAAGGTGACCTTCCCAGAAAGCTGGCACAAGCTCTCAGATATCAATACTATAAATGAACCTTTAATCCTAAATTTCAGCCTTGCCTCTCATCTGTCACCTAGAAGACCATCTCTTGTGTACTATTCTAAGTACTTGCTCCATAATAAAGACACCCATAAGCCAAATGATGACTGATTTAAACTCTTAAATTTACTTGGCAACTTCCTCCTAAGTAGCTCAAAGAATTTTCACTCACATTGAGTCATACTCTGGTTGTACTTTAACCCTTTCCTAGAACCAAGTTCAACAAACCATTTTGGGAAGTTGCATTAACCATTTTAGGAAGCCCTTTGAAGGTCACTTGGGTACTGTTTAACAAATTAGTATTCCAGTGGGCTAATTTCATTTCAGGAAATAACTTAAACCCTAGGAAATGATGACTCATGGTCTGTTTTGTCCCCACCACAGGAAAATTTAAATTCTGGACCTAGGCACTGACTGAAGATTCTAAAAGAGTCTGTTTGCTTTTTCTTAATTAAAAAATAAACAGACCTGTTATTTCAGGCGTGTTATCCTGAAATGAGAGACAGCAACATGGGGAAAACTAAGGTGTAAGACTGTGCAAGATTTTATGAGGTCTTTTTCCTAGTCCTTCCAGTGCAGGCTCCTGCTTCATACCAGCCAGGCCTCATGCAGGAGCGCACACATAATAAAGACCAAATTTTCCTATATCATTTTCTTTTGGGTATGAGGCTGTAACTCAGAATTACTGAAAGTTACTCAGAATTTCAGGCCGCAATGATTCTATGAAACCCTCTATTCTTCCATCACAAGGTACCAGAATCAGATGAAATTCTATTTTCCTTTGAGTTAAGCTACAAGTCCTACATATATTTGTTACATTTTGAAAATTCACAGATAAATAATAATCAGAGAGAGGTGTCCTGCCCAACATTGATAATGACAATAAAGAAAGCTTTTGTAATCATCTCTTGAGGGGTTTAAACAGTAGGATTAATACCTGTTTTCTAGAAATGTCATAGCAGGAACCTTCCCTTAAGGCAGGTGACCTGGATTAAATTGCTTTCCTCTCTAGGATTCAGCAAATCAATAAGTACAATTGCAGCTTTGCTCACCCATCGAATAAGGCTCTTCTGACGGTCTCTCCCCATGTCAGTTGAAACCTGTGTGTAGATGTGCATCTCATGTTTATTTGTCATGGAACTGTAAATGGAAATCTTGGAGCTCTTGATGAGATCAGAGCATTTGGATATTATTTCTATAATTTTACATACAAACATATGCCTAAACGTTGTAAGACTGAGCTTATTTTTCTCCAAGTGGTAAGATGGGCTTTAATGTAGTAAACCTATATTTACAAAAGAGTAGACTACTGATAATGTCATAGAATTTTTACCTGAAAGTTGTTTTTTTTTTTAGTAACAGATTATGGAATGTATTTTATCTCAGATATTTCTATCTTGTCTTTCAGAATTCATTTACATTGATAAAAATCTATTTGTTAAGAATATCTAAGGCTTTCTTAATAAGGACCAGAAAGATCTGATGTCTAAGACTCAACTTTAATAGGAGCTGGCCTACTGTCTTATTGTAAAGATAAGTTTTTATTGAAACCCAACTATGCTTTCTTATTTGTCCTTGTCTGAGGTTACTCACTCTCTCATTAGGACAACAGGTTCGAGTAGCTGCCATAGAGATCATATGTAAAATCTATGTGGGCCACAATAGGAAAAGAGTCTGTACAACCCCACTTGAGTCTATGAGCCTAAAAGAATAAACTTTTATACTATAATAAAAGTGGTATTTATACATAACACATTCAATATGATATATATGATACTATACATATAGTACGTATATATGTATCCATATATTTTCTTTACATATACAATATGTATATTATTACAATAAAAGTAATATAATTCATTCAAAAAGATATGGCACATTATGTAAACAGTGTTCCATTCTTCTGGAGCCTTGAAATTAATTATTAGAATGTGAAGATCTGTGAATTAGTATGTGTGTGTGTGTGTGTGTATGTGTACACATGTGTGCATGTGCGCACATACACTGATCCTAGGGTTTGAATTTAGGGCCTGGGTGCTGTCTCTGAGCTTTTCTGCTCAAGGCTAGTGCACTGCCACTTGAGCCACAGCTCCACTTTCAACTTTTGTGGTGGAAAGAGTCTCTAGGACTTTCCTGCTCAGGCTGGCTTCCAGTTGTGATTCTCAAATCTCAACCTCCTGAGTGGCAGGATTATAGGTGTGAGCCACTAATGCCCAGCTGTGAATTACTAATGATAGCAGTTTTCTTTCTGCATTCTAGAAATATAACAATGATTGGTGGATAGGAAGGCTGGTGAAAGAGGGTTGTGAGATCGGCTTCATCCCAAGTCCACTGAGACTGGAGAACATACGGATTCAGCAAGAGCAAAAGAGAGGACGTTTCCACGGAGGGTGAGGCCATCCTTTCTACGTGACTAGCCTGCCTGCCTCCCTCCCTTTCCTCCTTCCTCTTTCCTTTACCCTTCTTACTATCCCTTCCTCCTTCCTTCTTTTTCTTCCTTCCTTTATACTCTTTCTTTTTGGAGGAAAATGGGATGATATATACATATTTTTCTTTTACAATTTGCTTATTAGGTTAAAATGTCTGCTTTTAAAGCAAAAGATAGCTTTCTGTATCTGCGCTGTCTCTGAGATTGCCACAGAGATTGAATTTTACTATACTCTTGGCGTACTAAACTCCACTACCCCAAATCCATATGACTATTACAGGGGGAGTTTCCTGTGGGTTTAGCAAACCTTCCTCAAAATCCAACTTCCCTCTGGTGTCTCAGAACTGCAAGTGGGGACATATGGCCCAGCATGGTTGCTTTTCTTTCTTTACTTCAAAGGCTCTTGATTATATACTAGAACTTTCTCCTCTCAGGCTTCTTATGCCATCCATTGATCCTGGTCCTGGGGTAAAGACCTTGTCACACTGATGGGTCAGCCTCTAGAGAGCTAATGAAACAATCACAAAGACCTCAGCATGGTGGTAGTGAAAGGTCGTAGGAATACAGCTGCAGCCCTAGAGAAGATATTGGGAAGAAATTCAAGTCATACTTAATGTACAGATACTATGTTGCAGCCTCATCTGAAGCAGTGGTTTGATATGTGCTATCCTTTTTGAAAATCTTTAAATATATGCATGTAGTTCTTTTTTTCTTTTTTCTTTTTCCCTTTTCTTTTTGTCAGCCATCGGGCTTGAACTCAGAGCCTGGGTGCTGTTCCTGAGCTCTTTTTGCTCAAAGCTAGCACTCTACCACTTTGAGCCACAGCACCACTTCCAGTTTTCTGGTGGTTAATTGGAGTCTCTGTCCAGGCTGGCTTTGAACCATGATCCTGAAATCTCAGCCTCCTGAGTAGCTAGGATTATAGGCATGAGCCACCGGTGCCCAGCACTTTTCAATTAAAAAAAAAAAATAAACAAGTAAGCCACCTTGCTAGGCTGGTCTTGAACTGTTTCTTTTACCTCAGCTGCCCCAGTGCTGTGATTACAAGTGTGTAGCATTATTCCTGACAGAAATCAGGTCTTTCTCTTGACATTTAACCTCCTTTCTGTTAGATCTTTTTCTATTTCAAAAACATGTATTCCTTAGAGTTCCTTTTGCTTTTGTCCAAATAGGAAGGTTTTCAAGAGTAGCAGGAAATCATAGAAGTATAGTTAGCCCCACTTTTAATTATTAGTTTGCTTTAGTATATAGCACGTCTAAACTATTATGAATTATTAATCTTCTTGCTCCCTCTGTTCTAGATTTTTGTCTTCCCTGCTCTTCCTTAAATACACTGGGAACCCATGATTCTACCTCAGAACTTTTGCATTCCTCCTACTAGAACCCTTCTCTTCATATTTTCTCTGGCTCACTTCTTCATTGGATTCCGATTTTTGTTAATTATCACCTTTCCCATGATCCTTTTCTGGCTCCCTGTGAATTTATAAGTATTCCCACTCCATTCCCTTTATATTCTGTCCCTTCTCAGATGTAGATTTCTCTGTTGTATTTATTGCCCTCAGAAATATATTTCTCTATGTGGAGTCTTTTGAGGAACCTCCATAGTACTTTCCAAAGTGGTTGAACAAGTTTACACTCCCACCAACAATGCAGTAAGGTTCCCTTCTGTCCACATCCCCTCCAGCATTTGTTGTTATTAGAGTTCTTGATTATAGCCATTCTAACTGGAGTGAGGTGGTATCTCAATGTTGTTTTGCAACCCAGATGCCCCTCGGTAGATGAATGGATCAAGAAAATGTGGTATATATACACAATGGAATTCTATGCCTCCATCAGAAAGAATGACATTGCCCCATTTGTTAGGAAATGGAAAGACTTGGAAAAAATTATTTTAGTTGAGTTAGGCCGGGCCCAAGAAACATAGGTCCCATGGTTTCCCTTATTTGCAATAGCTAGTATATGTCTGAGTCAAGCAGAAATGGTCAGATAAGGTGATGTTAGGGAAATGAACCCTAAGATATGTACTCAAATTTTTTTTTCTTTCTTGCAATTGTTCCTAACACATTTATAAGATTTTTTCTTTTTTGGTATAATTTGTGGAGGGGAAGGGGAAAAACAAATCGTTTAAATAGGGATACAGGTGGACCCATTGCAACAATGAGATGTACAAGTCGTATGTCAAAAATGAACTTTTACAACTTTGGTGCGGGGGTGTGGGGGTGGGGGGGGAGCAGAGAGGATTGGGGGGGTGGGGGGAGGGTGGGAAGGGATGGGAGGGGGAACAAAGGTGGAGGCTACAATGCTTGATAAGAAATGTACTCATTATCTTGCCCATGTAATTGTAACCCCTCTGTACAGTATTTTCACAATAAAAACATTAAAAAAAAGAAATATATTTCTCTTGTTTAGCACTGATACCTCTCTCTAGACTGTCACTCACTAAGGGAAAGGATTTTGCTTCTTCTGTTGTCCTAGCTTCTAGAGCAAGAACATGGAACCACTATTTGTTAAATACTACAAATGAGATAATGAATTATGGTCATTGTTTCAAATTTTTATTGTTACTACTAATATTCCATAATACTCTTGTGTGTATGTATGTATATATGTGTGTATATATATATATATATATATATATATATATATTTAAATTTAACTGAAGCTAACTTTGGGGGCAGAAACCATAGTAAAGCCCAATGCTCTCTGACAGGATCTTCCTATATCATTATGGCACCCCTGTGAGCTACAGGTAGCTTCTGTGTTATACCTAGAGAGACATGGGAATGTGCCAAGGCCCCATAGATAATAAGTGGCAGTGCCAGGATGGGTCTGTATCATTTTCTTTAGCACTTAATGGGAGAGACAGGTGAGATATAGGAAGGTAAGTTCCCTAGGGCTTCCGTAGGGCTCAGGGAGCCTTGCAAGGCACACATGAGGAGATCAATGTTAATAAACTTTCATTTCAGGTCACAAACAATATTATCTGTGATTAACTCCTTATTGCCACTTCTGGCTTTTTTAGTGGTTAATTGGAGATAAGAGTCTCATGGACTTTCTTGCCCAAGTTGGCCCCAAGCTGGCTTTGAACCATGATCCTCACATCTCAACCTCCTAAGTATCTAGAATTACAGGTGTGAGCCACTGGCATCCAGCCTAATTGCCCATTATTCTTAACTCTGACCCATACACGTTTTTAATTAGAATGGTTCCAGTAGATCTTCTTGCATGTTTTGAGCTGTTTGACTTGAGCCTGGTACATTAGTGTTGTTAGGTAAGCAGGCAGTCTACAAGGACATTCCTAACAAGAATTCTTTTGACTGATTCCTGCACTGAATAACTGGAAGCAATGTTTTTGCAAAGCATTCCTTGGTCTCTGTTAGGTCTCCACTTGCTCTAAGAAATGAGGTCAAAGAAAACATTCAAACAGATTCTTCAAGTTCTTCTCTCTGATAAGATTTGATACATTTTGAATTATTTAGTACGTGAAGGCCAAAGAAAGCTTTGGATTCTCAATTTATAATTCCAAAGAATCTGGGAAGTAAGTTTTAAGTTCCTTTGTATATCCTAGGAAATCGAGTGGAAATTCTTCTTCAAGTCTTGGAGAAATGGTATCAGGGACATTTCGAGCAACTCCTACATCAACAGGTGAGAGCTTTAATTCAACTTCTTTTAATGGAAAATATTCCTTCTTAATACTGTAACATCCTTGCAAGTATTTTTATTAATTTGGAAACAAAAGCTTGATTGAAAGCTTCTTTCAATATTTCATTGTTCATTTTTATGGCAATTCGACTTGACTTAAAGAGCACTAATGAATAAGAAAATTGGGTCATGATAATTTTGAAAATCTTAATTTACCCTTACAGCCAATAATATCCATTGTGTAAACCAATTTCCAACAAGTCAATTATTCTATCCAAGAACACAAGAGACTTTAGGATAGTGAGAGCCAATCGAATTGTTTTTAAAGTTGTAGATGCTCAAGACAATGTTTATTCTCCACATGAGCAGGTATTGGGACAGCTGGGGTTATGGACATTAGGAGGGTTAGAAGAGATAAAGAGGTAAGGCCCAAAGATCTTGAATGTCTGTTTAGACAACAGACATCTGAACCCAGGGATCAATGGCAACAAAGGGATGCTGTGACTCAAGGATTTGGTTCTGTCTTTGGACAGATCACATGCTCCAAGTTCTAAAGATGAATTTCATTCTGGCCTAGAAATGAGACAGTATTAGAGTATCTAGCATTACTAATATATTATTAACTTGGACTAGCAGGTTCCAAGCTCTGTTCTGGATGTCAAAACTGGGTTGGTTCTGGAACAGTGAAAAAGATCTGGTCCTTGTTCCTGAGAACCCTTTCTGGTCTCAAGGCTCTGGGCTAAACTATACATCTAGGTTTCCCCCACATAAGAAATGCTTGGATGGCAACAAAGTCACTTTCATCAGATATTGGGTGTGTTTTGCCTCATTTCCATTTGCTGGACATTGTGGCTTTTTATTATTACAAATAGGGAACAAAAGAAAATAAATGGGAAGAACAGGCAATCAGCTGATTTGAAGTTTAAAGCAACTTAGTAGAAAAAATACAGATGTATATAATTTTCATTTCATTCTAGAAAATGAGACCTACAAAGTTCTCTCCCGAGTCACCAAAGTTACAAATACAAATAAAAAAACAACTAGTAATTGAGGCAATAGTCTTTTTTTTTGCAATAGTTATTTTTGCTATTCTGTTAGTAGACAAATTCTGTTCATAAAAAATTGTTATTCGGTTACTTTTCTATGAAACTTGATTGTCCACCTTGCCCTGTGCCACACTGTGTGCTGTGCTCAGCCTGGGAATACCCCAGGGTTAATAGCTAAAACTTCCAGTGCTGTTGTGAGCACCTGTGAGCCACCCTGCTTAACACAAAGTCAAGAAGCAAAGTCATTTGTACAAGGAGGAAGTTACATTTCCTTTGACTTCAAAAGTACAAGTCCAGATGAAACAACAGCAGTGGGTGACAGGGAAGTTAGGAAGATAATTGTAAGGACAAACGGGTTCCTTCTTCCATCTTGTAAACTCATATGTTATCATTTACAGCGATTACATATTTTGATATGGCTCTCATTGTTGTCTTTTAGCAAAACAGAAGCAAAAAGTGGTAAGTTGTGTTTCCTTTTTAAATTTACTGTTAAGGTTCCTTTGCATACATGCCTGCAACACTCCATTTCAGTGACCACCCAGTGGCTATAAAGTACGGGATGAGCCTCGTGGTGGGGACCTTTGGTAATCATTTTTCATTCAACCTGAGAATTATGGAGAATTATTGTGGCTGCCAAGGAGGTGTGCTCCACCTCACCTTGTCATGCATGTCAAATCATCTTTTTCAGACGGAACACATTCCTCCTTACGATGTTGTGCCATCGATGCGTCCGGTGGTGCTAGTGGGGCCGTCACTGAAAGGTTATGAGGTACAAACATCATCTGTTTCTCTTTAGTTATTGACTGAGAATCCGGGAGGTCGTCCTTTGGGCTCCTGCTCCTTAGGGTCTGTTTGTAGATAGGAACTCAGGAACACCAGCTTTCAGTATGTGAAAGTGGGGGGTACAAGGTGGGGTTCCTGTGGTCCTTAGCCCTCTCTTTTTCTTCTCAGGCATATATCTCATCTTTTATGCTGAAACTCTCAAAGAACCAACCAATTTCACAGGTGCTTAAAATAGTGACTTGGTCCACCAAATCGTTTTTGGCTTGTTTGAAAGTACATATACAAAAATACACTTAAAACATGAGTGAACTATGGATATAAATTAAATGATGCTATGCAACAAGAAAGAATAGAGATTTTGACTCATGGCTTTCACATTTCCGCTGTTTTGTATTGGCCTGGATAAAAATAGATAAGAATTGTCATTTAAATCTGACAATAGGCAACCTCTAGGCCTCTATTCCCTCTGTTCTAGAACACACTAGGACTCTCACTACATGCTTGTTGAATGAATTAATGAGTCGTTTGAGGGAGGTCTAAGAATCCTGTATCTCTGGCTTCCTTTCAGTTAGAAATGTCAGATGCTAGAGCAGGCAAATAATCTACCAGAATTTGGCCCTGGATGGGAGGAATTTCAACTAACATGTACAGACTAGCAGGAAGGCCAAGCCCCAAACTGGCATTGGTCTCTCACTGTTCTTTACTAGAGGTAAGCACAAGCCAGGCATGCCAAGGATTGCCAGCAGCTGTTAGCAAAGCCAGCCTATTGTCCCCTGGTGGCAGATCTGCCCCCTAATAAAGGAAGAGGGAAATGTGTTTGCGTTGGGTCTTATGAACATTGTCAGTTCATTCCTTAGTACCCTGAAGAAGAGCCAAGAGGGAGAAATGAACAACTATACTTGGTTACACATGAAAAATGCCTTGCATGGAGACTACCCCCTAGGAGACCACTGGTTTTGATGAGGTCTCTGCTAACACATAGTGCCCTTCTCTTCTAACTTACATACTTTTGACTCTCTCTCTTTCTCTCCCTCTTCTTTTCCCCTTTCTCTCTCTTCTCTCTTCCTCCCTGTGTATGTGCCTCATTCTTTTTTTCTCACTTCTGCGAAGGTAACAGATATGATGCAGAAAGCCCTCTTTGATTTCCTGAAACACAGGTTTGATGGGAGGTGAGACATAGATTTTTTTGTATTATTTTCTTTTAACTGAACAAGTATGATACATTGATTTGTACATCTATGTTTCTGGTGATTTCAGAAGTTCTTTATTTAAAAGTTGACTCAGTGTGCTTGGGAAGGAAGTATACATGAAAGAGCTCTGAAAAAATGTGATGAATCCCCAAGGGAAAAGGGGCCTTGAAAAGGAAAACAATATGTGTTTGATTGAAATGTATGTATTTGTCTCTGTTTTCTCATTTATTAGTGGATTCATACCAAATTGATTTTCAAAAAGACTAATTAAAATGTGTAGTTCTGATCAATATGATGGCTCAAGGGCCTTGCTGGGTAATATTTTTGAATCGTGCATGGGTGTGCAAGCATGCATATGTGTGTGAATACCTCAGTATACGTGTCAAGTACAAAATTGACTTAAAAGAATAGATCAGGATTTTTTAAAATATATTCTAAGCTTTTCAAGTGACTGTTTTTCAGAAAGTAGTACATATTTGAAGGTTTTATTCTGGTTTTTTAAAAATCACCTATTTTATGGGTCTGTTTTGCTATGATTCATCATCATTGTGACCCAGCCATCACGTAATATTAGCATATAAATTTTGTGGGAACTGTTTCTGTGCTTTACAGAGAAATGATTTTTTTAAAAGGCAATGTTGCCACAATACTGAGTTCTAGTTCTTCCACAGCTCTTCATATAATAAACACCACAGAAAAAAACACCTAATATTCTCGGAAGTAAAGGAAACTTAAATGGTGTACATTAAGAAATGCTAGTAAATGTTTCCATTGTATTTGCTTCGGTTAGATTAAGAACAAAACCTTTAAATATTTTCTTTTTTTAAATAAGTTTTTTATTGTGAAAATACCGTACAGCGGGGTTACAATTACATGAGCAAGGTAATGAGTACATTTATCAAGCATTGTTGCCTCCTCCTTTTTTTTCCCCTACCATCCCTGCCCTCCCATCTCCATGACTACATTCCCCCTTCCCCCACCAAAGTTGTAAAGTTCGTTTTTCAACATAGCGTCTTGTACATCTTGTTGTTGCAATGGGTCCACCTGTATCCATATTTAAACAATTTGTTTTCTCCCTTCCCCTCCTCAAATTATACCAACATCAACTACAACATCAAAAACAGAGGTTATACCATGGGGGAGGGACATACAAAGCAACAAAAAAAATTACCTTATAAATACGTTAGAAACAATAGCAAGAAAGAAAAAAACCACTTGTGTCCTTATCTTGGGGTTCATTTCACCTAACATCATCTTATCTGACCTTTTCTGCTTGTCTCAGACATATACTAGTTATTGCAAATAAGGGAAACCATGAGATCTATGTTTCTTTGGGCCTGGCTTACTTCACTTAATATAATAGTTTCCAATTGATTTTGATACATACAGTATTTTAAAAGAAACCCAATAATGCTTTAAGTACAAATTATATATAAAGGAAAATAATTCTGAGTGATTGTGACAAAATATTTATTAGTTTAATTTGAGGAAAATGAAATATATTCATTAGTTTTAAGAACTATATACAAAAAGAATAAGCTGACAATTTAATTTTCATAATAGAATTTTTGGTTCAACCAAAAACTCTATGGCATAGAATGAATTTCTAAGTGTTCTTGTATAGGCCATGGTTGCTTTAGTTAGCAGACTCCAAATGTACAATGGAGGCCTATTATTGCTCACTTAGCAATCTGAGACAAGTGTACCTCTTTGGGAAGGATGATAAAGTAGAGGGAGGGAAAACTGGATTGAAGTTTGCTGCTCCTACCATTTGGAGCTGTTGGCCTGGGGTGATCTTTCCACTCAACCAATTGAGCAAAGGTGCAAGCAAGGCCTGGAAATAGTGCACATCTTTCCATGTATTTGGAAAGTATAATTTAGCTAAATAACTAGGAGGAAGAGAAATATATTATATTGAACTAATAACCATCGTCAGTAGTCATCTAGTAGGCACAAAGGGACTTACAAGAAGGACTTGGCTCTCTATTCTCTGCTTTTTTTTTTTAATGAAAGAAGACTAGTGGAGAACTAGTTCGTTTTTGGTTTTTGTTTTTTTTTAAATGCTGGATGCTAGAAAAATATCATAAAGGAAACATAAAATTCTTTAATCCTAATTTCCCATTACTATCAACCACAATCAGATAATTTTGTTTGAAAACTTGTGGCTACTGAGAATTCACTTCCTATAGGTTCATTACAAGGAACAACCAAACCCTGACTTTAATAACAGTGATCTTGTTCTGCTCTTTCTGATCTGGGATATAACCCAGACCCTCATTTATCTTTCTAAAGATTAAAAGCAGCTAACATACACAGGCCCAGTCTTCTGTTTAGGGTTTCATATGTGCAATCCCTTCAATTGTAGTCAGTCATTGGTTTAAACCTGACATGTCTTTATCAAAGGCTGTTCTGAAAGATGCTTCATGCTGTGGCCTCAGGTCAGCCATTGATTTGAACATCAGAGCCAACATGTGTGTTAGATTGTTTTGGACTATACATAGCAGACCTATAAACTGGTTTTTTTTTTTTTAAGTTTGGAAGATAGGACTGATGGAAAAGAAGAAAGGAGTTCAGGTAATTTAACAAAGGGAAAGTGAGTGACTTAATTACTGGCATCAAGAATGAACATTTCTTCAATTGTGAGATACAGAAAGAGGCAACTCATTTCACTGTAGTAGCCAAAAGTTCTTTTGAATTAAGTAGGATCACCTGGACCAGTCACTGTACACATGTTTTTGAAGTTAGTTTTACTAGAAAGAGAATTAAAATTTTATGTCAATAGTCATGGTGTCTAATAACATGAACTGCCAGGGAAACTAGAGGGCAGCAAATATAGTAAGCTGGAGATCGAGACAGACCTGAAGAGATCTGAAACACAAGCAGAACTGGAGACAAATAGATATTAAGTGTAAGGGTAGGAGAATGCTTTTAAATAATGAGAGGGCAGGCAGCAGAGTAAACAATGAATTTGTTGGTGAATGTGTATGTGGAGATCTGGAGAAAGATGAAGAGATTGTCTTGAAGCTTACTACTGACTTGTGTCTACTGCATGGGCAGTTGGCCTTATGTTTTGAGATAAGACAGTCTGCTGCCTTGTGTTGCGCCAATTAATGAAAGGAGAGAAAACAACACACATTCTTTAATTGAAACCATCAAAGAGAACAATTACACAGAAGGCTTTCATTCAGTAATAGAGCATAAACACTATGTGTAATGGAAGAACCTATTCAGTTCTTCATTGGCTGCAGATGCAGTCAGTTAGACAAAATAGTTGGAAGTCTTACTATTTTTTTCAGGGAGAACAAAGAAGAAATCCATTAACCAGCAGGCTTTCTAATTTGACACAAATTTTCAGATCTTGTTTAGGAATTAATTCAGTGAAGGAAAGTTCAAATGTTTGGCTTTTCCCAAATCATAAATGTAAGTAACCTTCTATGACACCTTCAAAATGTTTGAGTCCATCTAAATCTATTTAATTATTCAGTTTTATTGCTGTAACACCTATTGTGGAGCCTACCTGTGAAGTAGCTCCTTCAGGGTGCTCTATGCATGAATATCCACCTTAGTGAGGGTGACAGCCTGCGGACTGTAGCTGAAGTGGGCCCAGCAGTGTGTTATACTGGCAGTCAGCCCGGTTGAGGACAGTGAGTGTCCTATGGAGAGGAACAACTCTCTTCATAGCATACCACCCAGATGGGAGGATCCAGCTTGTTCAGCTAATATTCTTAGCTTGACCAGCAAGCACTCAAAGCAATTAGTGTTTGGCGACCAATGTCAATCACTTCAAATCCCCCATAAGTCATTACTTTAGACATTTTGACAGCTAGATCAGATCAGTTCTCTGGCATTTATCAGACACTTTGTAACTCATGTGATCATGACTTAAAATCTTTAATGAATACCATGAAGCCTAAAGAAATAAGATTCTAAACTTAAAGACAGCAGTTGGGGAACATGACAAAAACAATAAAGAAAGGAGGGATGTTGAGAAAAAAATTGAAAGAGAAGCTAAGGATGCAAGTTGGGGAGATACTCTGAGAGAGTACACTGTTTATTATTACAGGAAATGGGATCCATTGATGGTGTCACAAAGAAGCCAGGCCAAGCAAAGCCATTTGCAATTGCAAATGTTTTGTAATCCTATCATCTCCCTTTACTATATTGTCTATTCAAATGCCGCCTTAGTCATAGACTTTTATGTCAAACTTGAATGTTTAAATTAGTAGATTTTAATTATATCATAACTGATATAATTTACTCATCTATAGTTTATAGTAAGCTGCTCACTTTTAAGGCTAGGATAAAAGAAAAACTCCTTCAAGTTGATGTATCTTTCAATGTAGACAAGAATAATTAGTTATTTAAGAAAGCTCTTTATATGTTTGTTCCTAGTGTTAACTCATGAGATAGTTATGACACATCTACTCTCATCATTTTATTGATTAGGACATGGAGGCCCAAAAGGTGGTGTGAGATGTCCCTGATCATGCTAAGAGCCAGGGAAATCCACAATCCTCCTGTGCCTTTCATCCCTATCCTAGTGACAGTTTACTGTTACGTTTTTAAAAACACTTCCCTATTAATGCTTGGAATTTTTTAAAATATTAAAGTGAATGGGCTTCTTATTAAATGTAGCAAACAAGGAGTAGAAGAGCATTTTCTGTTGTATTACCAACATGGAAGTAACTATTTTTGAATGCATGTGTCATGACCCAAAGTAGTATCTTTTCATTGAAAAAAGCACAGAAAACTTATCACAGCCATGGATGACAGCAATTAAGATGAATTCCAGCTGGGTGAGGGTGGCTCATTCTCTAATCCTAGTTATTGTAAGGGTAAGAATGGGAGGACTTCAGATCAAGGCAGAAACTCCATGAGACTCCAAAATAATAGAGAGGAGTTGGATGTGATGACACATTCCTGTCATTCCAGAAATGCTGGGAAGCTTGCAATAGGTGGATCATGTTCTAGGTGTGATCCCAGGCGGGAAGTGAGACTATATATTAAAAATAACCAGCCCCAAACAGGTCTTGAAGTATGGCTTAGCCTCTCCCTTGTAAGCTCTCAGCCCTGAGTTCAAACCTCAGTACTGATTTAAAAAAAAAAAAAAGAGAGATTCCAAAGTAGACATAAGCAGCAGTTGGATTTCAGATTTACTGCAATCAGGAATTTTTTTTTTGCTAGCTTTCAATGATATTCACCACTACACCAAGTCTGTTGGAGAACTAGATTCCTTTTAGTTGTTCAACTTCTGGCCATTAACTATTAACACTCTGCCACAGATAGTTTTCTGAGAGAACTTTTTAAAGATTCATGTCAAACTTTTGAGAGATGTATGGTGTCTACCAGAGGAGATAAGTATAGCCAAAAAAAGAAGTTAAAAATGTATTTTTACAAAAACATTTGATAATGTAATTGTCTTGGCAGGAGCCTCCTTATAAAAGAAGAGTTTGGGGGTTGGTAACTGATTTTAATGATAGTAAGCATCTTTGCAAGAGAAACTTCCATTTTCTCCTAGAGAAAGGTTTCTAGGGCAAAGCTCTGCTTCATACATGTATATTAGCAAATAAAATAAGAAAGAGAGGCATTTATGTTCTATATCCTTTCTCCTTTTTTTTTTTTGTGCCAGTCCTTGAACTCAGGGCGTGGGTAGTGTCTTTGAACTGTTGTGCTCAAGGCTAGTGCTCTACCACTTGAGCCACAGCTCTACTTCCATCTTTTTATTGGTTAATTGAAGATAAGAGTATCACAGACTTTCCTGCTCAGGATGGCTTTGAACTGTCCTCCTCAGATCTCAGCCTCCTGAGTAGCTAAGATTACATGCCCTCTCTTTTCTCTACTTTTAATATATGAAGCATTTTTGCTTTATTTTTAAAAACTTTAGTTGTGTTTGAAAATGGCTTTGTAAAAGTGCTTTTGTAACTCAGAAATAAGAAAACCCACAACCCTTTCACATTTTTAGAAGCAACATTCATTGATTGATTTATATAGAGCTAGAAAATTTGACTTTCCTTGATGCAGAAACTATTATTCTAAACAGTTGATATCTGGAAATGGTAGTATATACTTGTAATCGTTACACTTGGAAGCTGAGGCTAGAGGATCTCAAGTTCAAGGCCATTCTGGACTATGTAGTGGGACTCCATTTGAAACTTAAAAAAAAACATGTTGGATTTTGTCTATAAGCCAAGCAACATGTCTATAATCTCATATTTGGGTTGTTCTGCATATTCAGGATGTTTTTTATCTGGTAGCTTACTCTTAAAACGAACAATAAATCCAGAAACACAATAAAAAGAACACAAACCCTATTTAGCAAGAAAACTAGCTCCCTATGAGATCCATGGTTCTAAACTGAATTAGCTGAGAAAAGAGACCCCAAAATAGCACTCATCCAACTTCATTGTGATTTAAATCCACAGAGCAAGGCCAAGATGGTTTATTTGCAGTTGAGGATTTGGCTTATATATGGAGATTTGAGGTTAATCTCCCCTCCTCGCTGCTCTAACCCCCCCCCAAGGAGTTTGGATATGAAAAGAAGGGTATTCTCATATTAACAAGAAGCAGTGCTACTTTCCTTGTCCCCATTTGGAAAATTCTGCCATGCTGTGAAGATGAGAACTGGGAAAGGGATTGTGATAGCGGTAACTGGTCCAGAAAGAAAAGCGAGCTTTGAATTCAACGGGGAGATAAATGGTAGCAATCCCAATTTAAAATGGTTTTAAAACTGTAAATTCCAGGTGGTCTTATTGCATAAGTCATATCAAATAGTTCTCTATTTACTACCTATTCTTTTCTTTTATGCTTACTAAAATTCTGGCATGGTTCTCATTTGCTCTCACCTGTAGTGTTTTAGGATTGCTCACCATATGTGGCCATATGGAAAATTATATACAAGTATGCTGAAGAATTATGTAGCTGCAGAAAGAGGACCATATTTTGCATACTCTTTTGTCTTCCCAGATCCAAAATGAAGTCTCCTTTTGGAACTGAGGATAACTACTCCATCTATCATGAATTAACATTTAAGCATAAGGAATGAAACTTAGCCACTAATTGGTTGATTGTCTTTGATGATCAAAATAAAGAGAGTTACCCCATTAGTCAGCAGCATTGAAATGCTGGGACAGAGCCTTTGTAGTTCCTGAAGGTCTTTTTCAAGAGCAAATCAGCTGTGAATTATGAGGAAACTGTATTGCTGCTTCCTAGAAAGAGCATGGTTTATTCATGTTTTGATTCCCTTCCAGTGTGGTAGATATTATGAAGGGAATTTTGCTAGACAAGCCGTAAAGCAGGAAGAACATTTTTATTGGAATAGGTTTTCAGTTAAATAGCCAAAACCCTTCCTTCATTTGCTCCACTGGAATTTTAATACTAGCCAAAGCTTGTTTAAAATACTTGTGGCCAATGCTTATTATACTGTGGTCTCACAGTATAATAAGTGGTTTATTAAGTACTATGGTTATAAATCATTTGGAGAGCCCAGTAACATTTTAACTAGCTTGTTCTGTTCTGTGTTTATATTCATAGGATATCAATAACAAGAGTGACAGCTGACATTTCTCTTGCTAAGAGGTCTGTCCTAAATAATCCCAGCAAGAGAGCAATAATTGAACGTTCGAACACCAGATCCAGCTTAGGTAAGATGCTCAAATATGACTCTTCTCCAAGCTGTGCTTTCTGGCTGGGATGCATATGTTTATGAATGTCCTTTCTAATTTGCTCCTTGTTCTGCACAGTAAAGTGTGGATAACTGTAGAGAATGCTATCCAGGGATGGGAAAGGAGCAGAATCCTGCAGCAGCCAGAGCCTGCTCTGTCTCTCTCGCTTCCTTCATCTCCCTTCCTCTCTCCCCCTTCCTCTCTCCCCCTCTCCTCCTCTCCTCCTCTCCTCCTTCTCCCTCTTCCTCCTTCCTTCTCTTTCTCTTCCTTTCTTCCTCTCTTTTCCCCTCCTTCTGTCCCTCCCTCTGTCTCTGTCTCTCTCTGTCATCAATTAGCTAATTAGTCATCTGCTAAGAGGAATCCTCCATGGGTTTGCCTAGTCTGTTGCTAACTGTGTGAAACTGCTTCACCTAAGCTTCTCTATGAGGTTCATGATACCTGTCATACCTGAGTCACAGCTGGCATGAAAGGAAATGAGGTACTCAGCCTCCTCCCATCTTTTTTTTTTTTTTTTTGGTCCAGTCGTGGGGCCTGAACTCTGGGCCTGGGCACTGTCCCTCAGCTCTTCAGCTCAAGGCTAGCGCTCTACCACTTGAGCCACAGCGCCACTTCCGGGTTTTCTGGTGGTTTATTGGAGATACGAGTCTCACAGTCTCTCCTGCCCGGGCTGGCTTTGAACCGCGATTCTCAGATCTCAGCCTCCTGAGTAGCTAGGATTACAGGTGTGAGCCACCAGCGCCCGGCTATATGAACAGTTTTAAGAAAAGAACAAAATAAAATATGCCAGATTGGCTTCCCTTTAACTTTTCTGCCAGAAGGGTCTGGCAACACAGAAGATTACTAGAGAAGCCCTGTGGTTATATCAGTGAATGGGTTAGAGTGAGTAATGAAAAACTGTTCTCAAACAACTTTTCTCCTAGTGCTGCTGGGTAGGGGCCAGGGGAGGTGACACAGGGCATAGGGTTACTAGTGGCTAGCCAGAATCCACTTGTTTAGTTGACTTACTGTTTCCATGCTTCTGTTTTGCTGAAGGAAATAATTGTTTCGTTTTTTTTGTTTTTTGTTTTACTCAAGTTGATTCACCATTTTTTAAATAGATATTTGTGTAAGGATCATTGATGCTCTTTGGAAGCATAAAATCCAAACATTTCAGAGAGGCAATACAACCTATCTAATAAAAGCACAGATTCTGAGGCTATAGAGTTAGGTTTCAATACACACTAATTATGCTATCTTGGGCAAATTCCTGCCTTCGTGGGGCTGGTGTAAGGATTCAAGGAGTGAATATACGTGGAAGAATTTAGAACAATGCCTACAAGATGTACTAAGAGTTTGTTTCTGTTGTCATTACCAGGCATTCTCTGCACCATGCCATGCCTGACCAGTTGGATTCTGTGAGAACCAGGGCCTCTTCCATGCACTGTTGTACTTTACTTTTTGGTTATTGTGGGCCCATATAATAAACATGTGTTGAATGCTTCATGAATGAAAAGTTGTTCAGGCAAGAGGAGTAATAATTCATCCTCTCATTAGATACTTACAGACGATGTTGTAGTTGCTTTACAGAGATGATCTTTAATCTTCACAGTTACCTAATAAAATAGACTACATAATTCACATTTGATAATTGAAGCAAATGAAAACAGAAAGCTTAAGGGATTTCTTGATCTCTGATAGCTAATTAAATTAGATCTAAATATATATGGCCATTTTTCTCCTCTCAATTTCACTTACCCTCCCTCCCCCACACACCTGGTTAGCTATCCTGCAGATAATTCCCATAGCTTGGATCCTTCTGTGTTAAGAAGTTTATCATCATATTGACCCCAAAGAGTCCACTTACACAGTGGAATATTTAATTTAAGCCCTGTATGACTTTAAAAGAATGTGTCACCCAGCTCCTGACCCTATGACATATCACAGCTGAAGGAGGACAAACTTTTATTATCCAGCTCCCCAAAGCCAAGAACTATGCTATCATTTCCAATGTTTAGGATGATCTGGTAAGGATATTTATATCAGTTTGGTATTCTGGGTAGCAGAACCCAAATGGAAATAGATGTGTAGAAGATTTATTGGAGAAAATGAGTTTATTAATATGTATTCCTAATAATTACTAGAAGGAAGGTACCTATGTCCTATTATTCCTGAGGTATTTTAGCTGTTAAGAGACTTGATACAAACTTGTTACTTCTGAAATGCTGGAGCCAAGAAAAAGACAAATGTATACTTACAATACATACAAGCAGTACTGTAATCAACTTTAGCACTTGTCCCCAGGCCCAGCATCTCCACCAGCCAAACATACTGGAGGGCAGCCTTGCCCTGTTATTATCTGAGCAGGATAAATACTTCCTTGTTTTGTATAACGGGTCAGGTAACATGGCATTTTAACCAAGCAGTCTACACAGGTGAAATTACTTGATACTTAACATTTTCTAAACATTTCATATTTCATACATAGCATTTCTGATGTGGAGAAAAAAATTTCAGATTATAAAAGTCAGTAGTAGTTTACAAATGTGTCTGAATTTGTCCCTTTATTTCAAGTCCACAATTGTCATCCAAAGCTTGATTATCACCATGTCATTTTAGTTCCTTTAGGGAAATTTGTAACTTGCTTCATTAGCCAGCCACTGCATCTTTAGTCTGAGAAGTCTAGCAGATTTCCCTGACAGGGACTAGTAAAATCCGATCACAAAGACTTTGTTAAAGGCAACAGTTTCTGGAAGGGACAGCTACAAGAACAGTGGGGAAAAGTTAAATGCTTTGTAGTTACTTGAATGAGTTCAAGAGACTTGGGGACTGTTGGATCAAAACAGAGACTGCAAAGATCACCCAGTATAGAGTTTCCTAAAGTATGTGTGTTTGCAATTTGGATTTGCTATAATGACAGCAAGTGGTTTGGAAAAAAAGCCCTGAAGTCAAAAACATCTGAGAAAACACTTAGGTAAACAAGGGTCTGGTTTCTTTACTGCAGAAGCTTGACCATGCTAATGTGCATTTGATCTTCCCATTAAAGTAGGCAACATGAGTTGCTTCCTCTATAGGGCGACTACAGATGTGCTTTTCCACAGAGCATCCTAGGGGGTTAATGTTTCATGGAACTCTTCAAGAGAAAGTCTGATCCATTCCAGTCTCCTCATTTTACAAATGAGGAAGCTGGCTTTCCAAAGATGATATGCTTTGCTCCAAATCAGCCTAAGATCTTTGTGTCCTAGTCTAGTGAGACTGTCCATGGTGAAGCAATAGGTTAGTGATTGAATATTGTCCTGGAGACGGAATAATAGGTTTGATAGAAGAGGCTTTTTTCTAAATATTCTTTTTAAATTTTTTATGATCAGTAAGTAGTTATACAAAAGAATTTATCTACAAAGCAGTTTATGAATACAATATGCCTGGATCAGTGTCACCCTTTGAACATTCTCACCCATCCCTCCCCTACCCATTCCTTCACAACTCTTCTTCATTTTCTAGGATATATATGCATTCTTTCCCTCTTCTTATCCCTCTTTCCCTTTGACCCCACCCCTTTTGAATGCCCACTCCCTGTTGTTTTGTTTTGCTGAACTTTGACTTTCCCTATTTGAGTTCTTCCTTGAATCTACCATATTTCAGTTAATACATTTGTATACGCTTTCATACCACCCAATGTACTTACAAGTTTATAAGAGAAAAAAACTCATCCTTTGCCTCTCTTGGACTCACTTAATATAGTTTTTTCCAGGTCAGGAAAGTCTTTTTCTGAGAGAGGAGTCAGTATATTTTTGAGCAAAGAGACAGTTAGTAAACATTTTAGGTTTGTGAGCCAAGTGGTCTCTTTGTAAAGTCACTCAATACCTTTGAACAGCCATAGACAATTTGGAAACAATGGAAGTAGCTGTGATCCAGCCAAGCTCTGTAGAAGCAAGAGGCAGACCTAATTTAGCTAGCTAAAAGAAGGTGTACCATTGCTCTAGGACAAGTTGTTATCTATTACTATGTCCTTAACATAGTGACTTCAAACATGACCACTTGGGAGTTTTAGGGGGACCCATCCAGCTCTTCTCAGGCTTTTTCCTGAGGTCTCTTCCATAGGAATAGAATGAGCATCCAACCTCTTAAGACCTAGACTTAGATACCAACACAGCATTATTTCCATAGTATTCTCCTCATCAAAATAATCACAGAGACTGCCCACATCCAAGCAGAGGGACGTAACCCTCATCTCAATGTAAGGAGACAATATCAATGACTTTGTGACCATTTTTAATGGCTGGGAGGGTGGACTGCTAGGATGCAGAAAGAAAATTAGCCTATAGAATTGCGCCCCATAGGCCTATCTCATGCACTGTTTCTTAATATGAGCAGATTGATGGTGCTTTACCATACCATCTATGCACCATAATTGTAAATTTGTTTGGTTGCTACCAGGTTCTGGTACATTTTTCTCTTCAGACAAGTTGAGAGTGGTGCATTTTAAGAAGGCCAAGTTCACATTGCCCCAGTACTATGGTAACAAGAGCTGCATAATGCACAGTGAGAAAAGCAGATAGACAATTGAATATATAAATGAAATGTAATCCTTTAATCCTGCTTAGCTACAAGCTGGCTTGTGTTACCAAATGCTGGTCCTGTGGCTCTCTGAGCTGGGTGATGGCTTTTTGTGTGCATAAAATGACATTGATCGCTCTTTCTGCAAGAGGGGAATCCAGCTCAAGGACAGCCTTGAAAACCAACATTACAGTAACCATAGTTGCTCTCTTCTAGCCTGCTTCACTTGTCAATGATGAAAGGACTCAGATTTATTCTATTAAATGCAAGAGCTCTGAAGGGAATGAAAGAATGAGGGTGCCTAGTTTCTAATCATCACGGTTGTGATTTTCTACTCTCCCTTTCAAGGAATTTTACTTAAACTATTGACAATCTTGTGGATTCATTCACTTACCTATCTGAAGTGCTCTCCCTATTGGTGCATTTTGAAAAAAAAGGAGTAATTCATTTCAGGAAACAAAGCCACATGAAATTCAGTTTCTCTTAGATGAAGGGAAATTATGTACCATTTCTGGGCACCCATTGAGGACAGAGAGAGGTCAGGACAGTTCTATCCTGCCAGTGCTATGATATAAGGTATTGTGGGTATGAACTTAAAAACACTGTGTGCCTTTTCTGCAGATAACACTGGCAAGTGTTATTTGATAAGACATGGACAGGATAGAAGTGTGTGGGGAGAACATGACATTCATTCATTCATTCACACATTCATTCAGAATGAATGTCATAAGAGATGAAGTAGAAAGAATCAAAGTCACTAATTGCTCCCTATCAATTAGTGGCGAGACTTTATTGTCTTCCTGGTGAGCTCATTAAGTGGAAACTCCCTGAACCAATTGCTAAAGCCCCACAGTATTAGTCAATATTCCTTTAGCCCTATAAGACAACCATGATCTTTAAAACAAAACAAAAACCTTTAACTTAAAATCAAGTTTCTTATCACCACCTGACCAGTGAGTTAAGTACTCAAGACTTCAAAAACTTTAGATAGATAGGTAGATAGATGGATAGTCACATACACACATATGCTGGTAACAACAATATATGTAATATATAAATATTTATGTAAATGCATTTGTGTATATATAATCAAGGCCAGCTTCAGCATTAGAAAAGCTCAATGAGTAAATGAGTGCTAAGCTTCACTTATCTACACAACACTGAAAAACTAGTTCATGTTGAATCATAATTCAAAGAACCCCCACAGTGAATACTGACTTGTGTGCCATTCGTTGTAGAAATTCTATGGTCTCCAAATCTGTGCAGCTGACTCTGAACAATTAAGAAAAATACACTTATATAAATATATTTAATATATAAATATTTAATAAAGCATATATTTGCAATTTGAAAATAAAAGGAACATCGACTGGCTGTCTTATAATTAGCATTGTGTATTACGCCATTCAGCCATTTTATTTTACTAAACAGTAGACGAATCATTCTTTTCAGTGGTGACAGTTTCAGTCTCCGTGTTCTAGTCACAGAGAGATGAAGTGTACAGACCCATATTACCTCTTTTCTCCACTTAGAAATAGGAAGAATGTCCCACACAGGGTTTTCTCTGTGTATAACAAAGCAATGTAAAGAAAAGCAAAAACATAAGACAGTTTGTATGTATTAAATCCTCTTTCTAGGTAATACGTAGCAATGAAGAAAAGAAAGCCTTTAAGTCGAAACTGCTAATGAGTTTCTAAACATTCAATAACAGCTTCCTGGATAAAAACTTTAGTCTTAATGAAGTTGCCCCCTCTAAGCTATGAAGTTATATACATATGTATACATATATATTTCATGCCTGTTAAGGATGACTCACACAATTCCTCTTCCTAATTTTTCTTCCAAAACAATTTAAATAAACGGAACCTTCATCATTCGTCAGAATGGGATCTAAAAATCACTGCATCTCCTCTTGTGACAGCAAGGACAGCAAGACTGAATGATCATTTCAATCTGCTCAGGGTTTTCCAGGTTTTAGCACTGACATCTCCCTGTCTCCCATTCCTAGGGAGACCAGCAGGGCTGGTCACCTTAAGTTGGCTTTCCTAGGAAAGACAGCCATGTCTTACTCCGTGAATTAGGAGCCAGTCACGTGGTTAAATGAAGTATTGGAAAAAGACATTGCAAAATTTCTGTTTTTTTCTATTTATTCCTTGCCATGATTGTTCTCTAGTCTACATGTTTTTTTATGCTTAGTTATTTATAGGGCTTTAGTTTTTACTTTTTCTCTAAGTTCTTGTCCAGAACAGAGACCTGCTATGCCTGAATTTTTGATAGTTTGTTTTGACATCTCTTTTGCTACTTATTTACTTTGGCAGCCACACCATTTCCACCTACTTCAGCTGGTTGTGACAGTGATTTGAAAACATCTCTTGTTACCCCTAGCCTGGGTTCTCAATAGTGTTACTGAGTGGGAATTGTTTACTGCCCAGGATTCTTGTGATTAAATAGCTCTCTGCATATCATCTCCATCATGGCAAGGAGTTGGCTATTTATTTATTTATTTGTAAATATTAAATATTTTATTTATTTATTTTAAAACTCTCCAAAGCTGGTTTGTGTAATCCATTGACTTTTTTTTCTTTTAGTTTCTTGTGTAACTTTTTTTTTTTTAAGTTCCTTCTGATTTGTTAGCACTCTGGTCTAGGCAGCTGTGTTATTTCCTAAACAGAAAGAAAACTTATCACAGATATGCTGGTGTGAAGTTCTTGCCAGTTGAAAATAAGATGCCCATGTGAGTATTCATTGTGAAGCTGCTGAAATTTGCTTTTTTTTTTTTAAAACTGTGTCTTTGGAAGACTAAAAGCAATTTCAAACCATCTTCTACCACATAGCTTTCTCTTAGCAATACAAAAGCATAGTTTGCAAGAAATGATTGGACTTAAGAAAACAGCCATACTTGGTGTATACATATTCTATCCATTGGCAAAGAGAAGTGCTTTTTAAAAAAATTGCTTCTAATGTAATTGTGGGTATAGTACTGAGAGTACAAGATGTAAAATAGCCAAGTAGATAGAAACCTCAAATAAGATTCTGCTATTGGCATTGCTTTCCTGTTTTTACCTTTCTTGCTTTTTTTCTTTGTTGTTGTTATTTACATTTTTATTAGCACATCTATTAGTATAAATTCATAGGGGTCACTTTAATATTTGCATACTTTGCATACGCATACATAATACATTGATATGCCCATCCACTGATCATCCATTACACTACCTTCTTCTTTCTCCTTCCCTCCCTTGCCTCTCCTGTCCCCTTTAACTATCTTTCTGTCCTCTTCACACTTACCCTTCTGTGTCTCTAGTGTGCACTATTCTATTCTATACTTCTGTAGGGTTGACTGAGTAGTGTCCATAAATGAGTGAGAACACATATTCTTTCTATGTCTAACTTGATTTAAACAACATAGTGCTTTCCAGTTCCATCCAGTTCCAGTTTGATATGATTCCATTATCCTGTTTTCACTTTTTAAATGATATTTAGTTAGCATGTATTAGTTGTACAACAAGGTTTCATTGACATTTCTGTACATGCATACAAATGTACCCTGACCAAATGATGAAAATAACAAGATTTCGTTATTTTTTTTTATAGCTGAGTAGTATTCCATTGTGTAAATGTACCACATTTTCACCCACCAGAGGGCATATAGTTTCCATATTTTGGCTTTTGTGATAATAATGTATATTAATAATAATAATAAATGTTGAGGTACAAGCTGTTTTTTGACATTGATAGCTTATCTCTTTTGGGTATGTACCCAACAGTGGAATTACTGGGTCATAATATAGTTCGATTTTCATGAGGAATCTTTATACTGTTTTTTTATATTATCTGTATTGATTTGCATTCCATCCATGCTTTAAGAGTTTCCATTTCTCTGCATCCTAATCAGCATTTGCCATGTCTTGACCTTTTTGATGATAGCCATTCTAACTGGAGGGAAATAACACCTCATTGTGGTTTTAGATTTCCATGTCTCTGATGATTATTGAGATTGGGCATTATTTCACTTATTTGTTGGCCATTTTTAAGTCAGTTTGCTTAGTTCTAAATTTAGCTTGTTTTCTGTCCTTTATTTGATTAATTAATTAATTTATGTATTTATTTTTGTAGTACCAGTCATAGGGCTTGAACTCAGGACCTGGGTGCTATCTCTGAGCTTTTTTGCTCATGGCTAGAACTTTACCGCTTGAGCCACCACTCTATTTACAGCTTTGTTTGTGTGGATGTGTGATTAACTGGAGATAAAGAGACTCCTGGACTTTCCTGCTTGTGGCTGGCTTTGAATGCAGATTCTCACATCTTAGCTTCCAAAGTAGCTGGGATTACAGGCATGAGCCACTGGTGCCTGACCCTTCCTTCCTTTTTTCCTTTCTTTTTCTGTGTGTATGTTGCTAGGGATTGAACCCAGGGCCTGCTGCCTGCTAGACAGGTGCTCTGCACTGAGCTACATTTTTAGCCCTGTGTAGCCACCCACCCCCTTTATTTTTACTGGATTATTTGTTTCTTTTTTGGTGTTTATCTTTCTGAGTATATTGTATATTCTGAATGTCAACTCCTTGTTGGACAGACCATTTGCAAATATTCTCCCATTCTATATATAATCTATTAGGCCTGTTTATTTTGATCTCCGGAAGCTTCTCAGCTTGATATGATCCCATTTTCCTATTTTATTTTTGAAATAAAATTTTAGTTAGCATATATTAATGGTACAACAAGTTGTGTTAACATTTCCATACATGCATACAATGTACCCTCATGTATCCTGATTAAATCTCTGAAGGATTCTTTAATCTGAGACTTTAGGAAAGCAAGAAAATGACTTGTTGGACCTAAAACCCACACTATTGGATGATACCTGTGCAGTCTAATCTTTCAGCAAACAGCATAAACAAACATAAACAGCAGGCTCAACATCACAGCAGTCTAGAATTTGTGGGACACAAGCCGAGTGGTTTCATCTGGTTGGTGCTTCCCTATTTCCTCTTTTTTTCTTCCTGTGTCATCGGAGTCTGTGGTTGCTTTTTGGGATGAAATTATTCCACTCAAGTTAGTACTCCAATATTACTCTCTTCATCAGAGCGTTGTAGACATCCCTCAGAATCAAATCTTTCTTTATGACTGTGGAAAATTAAAACTAATTCAGAAAAGAGCCTATGATGGCAAGAGGCCAGAAACTCCTTTGGGTTACTTTACCGGAAAAGAGACTTCTGGTAAGGATATATGTTCAATAGAGGCCAAGGATGTTTCCCTCATCTTGGGGGCCACATGGTTTCTTTCTTTCACTGTGGCTCTGCTTCACTTTTATCTTTTATTTTCCTTACAGGTAGACTCTTATCATTTCTCCATTTCCATAAGTTTGATTCTTACAAGTTTCTCTAGACCTCCTTCTAGATCCAGAACATTAACGGATCTAAATATGAAGTGGTCCTGCCTCTGTAGTGTTCTGAATTTAAGTCCCAGTGTGATGTGATTATTGTGGCTTTTAATATTTTTGTGTTTTTTATTATTATCTTTAAGAATTTATACAAAGGGATTCAATTCAACATGTCACTTTGGGAGTACAGTGCATCTTGATCGATGTCGCCCCTTTCATCAAACTCCCCCATCTCTCCCATCTCTACCCATCCCCTCAATTTGATTTTAATATTTGTATGCTTCCTTAACATCAATGAAGTTTTATTTTTTTGGTGCTGTGTTTGTTTTTGCCATTGGATATCCATCGGACCTGGCATGAAATCAGTATTGTATAAACATTTTAGGAATGAAAATATGTAAAAAATTCAGAAATTCAAGTGATAAGTGTTCTTAAAGGATTTTTTTCTATATAAATTGAACTGACTAAGTCCTCTCAAACATGAATCCGTTTAGACTGAAGTCACTTATTATTTTCCTACTCTAAGGAACTTTCAAACATTGTAACATAGGATCAAACATTTCAGTGAAGATTGATGTAATGAAACATTTAAACAGTAGGTTGGGGGTGTAGCTCAGTGGTAGAGTATGTGCTTAGCCTGGCTAGATTCCTGGGTTCAATCTGCTGCACTAAAAATAAAGGGTAAATATTGGGGGAGAGATAGTTTCTATGGTGACATCTACTTCTAAGAGCCCCTTGTTCTCAGCACCAAAGAGAATGAGTCAACTGAGACACCTCCAACTTTACGTCTTCCAGTTGTCTCACTATCCAGCGATGTCAGTGTTCCTGGTATTAGCCATGAATTTAAGGTTCTTAATTTGTTCAGATGAGCTCATAAAAACAGGTGGATGGTAGTAGAGGTGGGAGAGGAAATTTATTTCAATCCAGTGACTGAATATTAGATTCACCACCACCCACGTGTTTTTAATGGGGTGTGCTAACACCTGTGAATTGGCTTTTCTTTTTGTGAAGTATGAAGTGCCAAGGTTTTCTGAGTATCCCTCCAATGAGGCTGTATTTTGAATATATCCTGTTTGTGTTCCCAGTCACATAGCCATAACAGAAGAGCCATTCTATTCCCTTTGGGCCTAAAGAACAACTTCCCAATTACAGGACAGATACTGAGCAGAGTCCTTATGACAGAAACACTGACACTGGATGTTCCTTGTATCACCCCTGTTCTGTAATTAAGCACTCACCTTTTTTTGTTTGTTTGTTTTTGTTTTTGGTCGGTCGTGGGGCTTGAACTCTGGGCCTGGGCGCTGTCCCTCAGCTCTTCAGCTCAAGGCGAGTGCTCTACCGCTTGAGCCACAGCACCACTTCCGTGTTTCTAGTGGTTTATTGGAGATATGAGTCTCATGGACTTTCCTGCCCGGGCTGGCTTTGAACCGTGATCTTCAGATCTCAGCCTCCTGAGTAGCTAAGATTACAGGCATGAGCCACCGGCTCCCGGCTCTCACCTGTTTTGTTTTTTAAACTGTCTCACATAATTAGCTTAGGGTAGTAGCAATTACTAGACTGATATTCTATTATTAACCCAAACTTCCTTTCCTTGCTTCTTATCAAGAGGCAGATAAAATCTTTTTCACAAGCCTTGTGAAAATTATCTAAGTCAACATAGTTACCTTGGAAAATGTTTATTCCAATGATAGATTTTCTGCACTTAGTAGACAAGCAGTTTACCACTTGAATCCTTTAAAACTCCTCATTCGTGCAGTTACCTTGTTTCTTTCATATTCTGAAGTGAGAATTCCACTAGGAATTAGGGACATATGAACACATAGGTGAACACATGAACATATGAACACATAGGTGAACACTGACATGATATCACTGTACTTTTCCTGTAACACCTTTAGAGTCAACTGTATCCTTAAATAATGAAAAATTCAAATAAGTTAATGAACTCTGATTTTTCTGCTTGGGACAACTGGAACACCTTGCTTGACTTTAACTTGAGAAACTGCTAACTTATCCCTTCAAATCACCCTATATGGACTTTGAGATTTTTTTTTTGTGAAAATACTGTATAAAGGGGTTACAATTACATGGGCAAGATAATGAGTACATTTCTTATCAAGCATTGTTGCCTCCTCCTTTGTTTCCCCTTCCCATCAACCCCCTCCTCCCCCCATTTGCAATAACTAGTATATGTCTGGACTTTGAGATTTCATTGGCAAAATTCTAGTTTGGGAAGAAAATGGATTTTCTTGTCATCTCCAGGAAATGTTTGATGTCATATTGGATGAGAATCAGCTTGAGGATGCGTGTGAACATCTAGGAGAGTACCTTGAGGCATATTGGCGTGCTACCCACACAACCAGTAGCACCCCCATGACCCCACTGCTGGGGAGGAATTTGGGCTCCACAGCACTCTCACCATATCCTACTGCAATTTCTGGGTTACAGGTATTGTCAGTTTTGCTTATTACTTTTACAACCTTACCTTTCAGATTGTATAGAGAACTTGATTAAGTTGAAGAATGAGGAATGATTCTCAATGTGAGGAGGGAACCATAGGAGCACATTATACTAACCCAAACTGGAACTCACCTATTCTAGAGGAAGCTGCCCAGAGAATCACCCTTACTGGAGGACTTCCCTCTCTGTAATTGTGATTGTGTTTGGGGAGGGGGGGTATGTGTGTGCTGGGCCTGGGCTTGAACTCAGGGCCTTTGGGCTGTTCCTGAGTTTTTTGCTCAAGGCTAGCACTGTGCCATTTGAGCCACAGCTCCACTTCCAACTTTTTTGGTAGTTAATTGGAGATAAGAATCTCATGGGCTTTCCTGCCTGAGCTTTGAACCACAATCCTCAGATCAGCCTCCTGAGCAGCTAAGATGACAGGTCACCAACACCCAACTGCTCTCTGGGAATTTAAAATGGATTCTACTTAGATAAAGTAGTTCTTGGTAGATTTAATGTCTATACAGGGCAACTGTCCATAACTTACACATGACACTTCTTAAAAATTATATGATAGTGAAAATATCAGGCAGTTTGGAGACAGATGAGCCTTTTGTATTTCCTTAACTATACCTACCCCCCTGTGCTGCCTGAACTGTTCTATGCCTTGCACAAGACAGAATAAGTTTTCTTGGGTATAGCTAGGGTGCATCTGGGTCAGTAGCTATGACAAGTGTCCTTTAGGGAAGTATGGGATAGGGTCAGGAACTTCTTTCTTTGCTGCTCTGATAGAGAGCAAGAAGCATTAGGACACAAAATGATTCCTACCTTTCTAGATTAATTATTATTCACCATTTATCAGGTAGCTGCTGGAAGATGGCCAACCTCCAGCTGACTGAAGAACGTGTAGTCAGTTGAGCCGTCTGGCATCATGACTAGTTTGGCTTTAATGGGTTATAATGATAGCCATACTTGAAGATTTTTGTAAATTTAACTCTCAGATAAATTCAAACACTATTATAACTGTTTTGCTTTGCTGCAAAACTGTATCTTGGTAAACAGAAAAAAATGGCTATAAGAAATGAATTTCTTTTAAGATTGGATATGTTTGATTGTAACATTTATATATGTGTGTATGCACCAGTTTGCCTTATTTCCCTCCATGCATGCTGATCAGAGTGAAGCATTTCCATTGAGCAATTTGTGTTGGGTTTGAACTGGGATGTAGTATGGAGGCATGGGACACTAAGCCTCTGTGATATGGGAATAAGTATCACATTACACTTTGTTTATGAATACAATACACTTGATAAAACATCTCCAAGGCATCCACCTACAGTGGTTCTCCCAGTTTCACTAATGTGGTGACCTTTATCCTGTGCCCTACTTTGCCCTGTAATAATAGGTACTTAATTGTTAGATACCTGGCTGAGATGAATGGCACGGTCTGTGACTCACTGAATTTCCATGTGAAGCCCAGTAGACTTTGTAGAAGATTCTCTGAGACCATTGTTGTATCAGGATCCTATTCCTTAACTCAGGTGACCTTCCTAAGCTAGTGGACACATACAGATAACCTGTTTACCATAGTGAAAAAAGGTCCAATTTCATTTTCTGACCCAACAAATAGTTGTCTTAAGATGTTACTTTCAATTAATAATATTAGAAAATTTTAATTTATATCTGAAGATTACTTTTGCAGGCTGTCTCAGTTAAGGAACAAAGATTTTTAAAAGCATCAGTTAGCTGATTCCATAACACTATATACTCCTTTAAAGAATATTACTGCAAGCAGAACATTTAGGTAGGATATAGCAACAGACACATTATTTTATGGATAGTACAAATAGTTTCATAAAATATTTGTAAATATATAAAGTTATAATTCAGCTACCAAATGTGTGACTTGTAATAGGACAAATATCAGTTCAAGAAAGGAGTAAAATAATAGATGTTATTCTGAACTTCATGCACCAGTAGCAAAATAACCCCCATTTATTGCAAAAGAAGTGAAATACTTAGGCCTTACTAAATTCATTACGTTCCATGTAATGGCCAGTTTTCAGTTCTGCTTTTTCAATAGGAAGCATAGTCATGCGGCTTTATGTAATTAAGTTCATAAGCTGTCAGTGCTGAAGCACCTTCATGCATTGTATCCCAAATAAATAAGACAAGATGTTTTGGACAGACCATCTGTTTGTCAAAATGCTTTATTAAGGCAGATATTTAGTCATGTCTTATTGAATGGGTCCTATACATTTACATGTTTACATGTATATAACATACATCTATAATATAGTTATATGTTTACATTTATATGCTTACATGTATGAAGCTGACATAATTTAATCAATACATTATCTGATATTTTTAGAGTCAGCGGATGAGGCACAGCAATCACTCCACAGAGAACTCTCCAATTGAAAGACGAAGTCTAATGACCTCTGATGAAAACTATCACAATGAGAGAGCTCGGAAGAGTAGGAACCGCTTGTCTTCCAGTTCTCAACATAGCCGAGATCATTACCCTCTTGTGGAAGAAGATTACCCTGACTCATACCAGGACACTTATAAACCACACAGGAACCGAGGCTCACCTGGGGGATACAGCCATGACTCCCGACATAGGCTTTGAGGCTGCCAAAAGAACATAAAAATATTCATTTGTTGACAATTTGTCATAGCACTGCTAGGATAAACCAATCATTGTAACTTGGCAAGCACAGCACAATTATTGTGCTGTGGGCTGGTGTCATTTGATGCTAAGTAAGGGGCAAAAAAAAAAAATACATTATGCCCTTGAATCTAGATGGATAATAGATGCCCTGTCATATAGATATTTTTAAGTGTAACATTTACATAACAGTACCTTTTGTTTTCTTCATAGATTTAGACACATCAATTTGTAATTTTAGGGTATTTATGAAGGCACATACAAAATAATTTCCCATGCTGGAAATTCCAAATGACCAGTTCCAGTTGGAACCAATTTATAAACCAATTCCTGTTGGAATTTGGGTGAATTGACTGGAAGTCTACTTGAGCATGTTACAACCAACTGAACAATCGGGAAAAAACTAAACCTAAATGATAAGAAATTCACAATACCAACAGAAACCAAAACCAGCTATAGTATTTATTTGTTGGAAGCTAAATTTACACTTACAGTTGGAATGTATGAACATTTTAATATACTAAGCTGTTACCAGAATGGCTTTTCAAACTTACCAAATGTACTGATAGTGCCAAAAAAGAATCTCAGAAATCTTAATGCAGAAATTATATAGTCTCCTCAGATTTTAATATTTTTCTTTCTTTCCTGGCATAGCTGTTGTATTCAAAATGTGTTTTTGCTTTCTGTTCAGTTAGTATTGTTAGCTTGTTTGAAGTTGGCAAAAAAAAAATAAGGAGAAGAAAAACTTGAACATTTTTTTCAGCAATGGGTGAGAATAGTAAAGAGAAGCCAACAATAGCTGGTTATATAAGAAATGGAAAACGAAGTGGTATTTCTTCTTTAATCAATCTGAGCACAACTACACACATCTGGAGATCTGAAGTCAGATAGCAAGGATGTGGTACCATCCTCCTGAGTGCATAGCTAAACATCTCCAGTTCACCCGGCCCACTTACCACACACATCAGGTCAGTATTTCCTGCCAACACAGTGGAGTATCTTCTCGTTGCTTTCCTCAGTCTCTGTCTTTGGTTTAGCTGAATCTCTAGCCCTTCAGCAAAGTTTTAAAACACACTATTTTTTTTAAATTTTTTTTCAAATACATTCAAATTACAACATGACAAACTGGAAAAAGTTCAAAGTAATGATGCATTTAACATCTTGCAGTAAAACTAAGCATAAAGATTCAGAATATGTTGATTCACTAAAATTATAGCATTTTAATGCAGAAAAATTATAATTTTGGAGCTTGGGTTGTCTTATTTTTAGTGGATAACCCTCATCACTGAAATTATTCAGGTTCTTGGTGGGGGGTTATAGTTATAGTGACCCATGTCTTATCAAGAAATACTTAGATTCACTATGCTTTAAGAAATTATTGAAATTGACCCTTTTATATCAGACACAAAAGTCTTTACAAAAGAGATCTTGTTTCTAAAGTTCTATGATGTATGCATTTTTCTAAAACCCAGCCACAAAAGTCGTTTTCTACGAGTATGTGTCATGAAGCATGCTTTTGAAAACATGTGTGATTACTTTTACATTAATTGTCTTCCCCTAGGCTTTCAGAGCATGTGCCAGTTCAATCATTTTCCTGATGAAGAAATACATTTCATGTTCTTAATTAGTTAAACATACCCTAAACCCCCACCACAGCCTACCATATACTTTCCCTCTTGTTCACAGTATATAACCCTGTTTAGCTCATCATGAGGGTACCTACATTCTGTATGTCATCTCGTCCATCAGTCAATACAATTCAACATGGGCTCAGCAAAATTTCAAAGTTAACATGTGGTACTGGCTTGTGCAGTTCTTTTGTCATCTAGTGAATCTTATAAAACTTTCAGTTCAGAAATTTAGAAGAGCTATAGCCATCATGCTCTTTACTCAACATATAACCTGCCATTACTGAATACTTTGTTAAAACACAGAAGAGCATTTTCCAGCAAACAAAACTATATTACATGTACAGCACATATTTGCATGAGAAAGAAAACATTAGCCAAAACATTTTTCTATATGCTTTACTGGTTTCTTGTTTGTGTGCATTAAAGTATTTAATTGCAAAGAGTGCACCAAGGTGTATAAATTTAGACTAGACAGCTGTCCAGCTTTTTCTGTGGTAGCATTAGCAATTGGTCATTTAACTACTTTAAGATATTTACATTTTATGGCAGGTAGCTGTAACAGCATTTTCCATATATCCCCTAGTCTGCGAGATTACCATTTCTTTTTGGAAGTCACTTGTTTTTTAAAGCCTCTCAACCTTCTAGTCTTCATGTCATATTGACAGAGGGAGTTCCATTCAATAACTGTACACAGAACCCATCTATCATTTACCTTCAAATGTCCATACCCATTTCGCTTTGCATTCTTATTCAAATGCTAACAATCTTTGAAAGGATATGATGTATATTTTCTTGATGATATAGTTAAAATTGCTCTTTAATTTTACATATTTTTCACTTTCCTTCTGTAATAAGTTTATCTTCTTCAAGTGAATAAGAGATGCACATCTTCCTTTTTTAAAAGCCTTAGAATTTATTATGTAAATGATACTAACATCAAGATATATACTAAATAAAATTTTATTTTTTCGAGCACATTAAGCACCTTTGGAAAATATGTATTCCAGTAATACCTTGTTTTTAATTATTTTAAAATAACAAGTAATGATAAGCAGGAGAAACAATTCTTATAATAATATTTTCAAGTTGTTTAACTTGTAGTTTAAATTACATATTAGGATTCTTTAGTTTCAGTCCAAAGACATAATAATGTCACACTGTGGAAATGTAGTCATGGAAAAGAAAAGAATGCAGTTTTTGATCCTACTGTTAACTCTCAAGGCCATAATGTGACTCCAATAGTCTATAACCAACAATGTTACCTTGTTTACTCCAGTATTTAGCGCAACACTTAGGCAGGTTTGTGAATGACTGGATTCTCTCTTATCTTTATACAGTTAGTTCTATTGGAAAGAAGATTGGAATTGTTAACAATTTAGAGTAATGGTCTTACCCACGCACAGAGTCTTAATTTTGTGGCTCTATTAAGTTATTGCATTTTGTCCTTAATGAAATGAACTTTTTAAATGTGAAACAAATTCTGAGACAAGTATTTGTTCCCTTTAAGTGATTTGTTATTTACTCTAATTATTGTTGTTCTTGCAAATTGTATTTTTGGAATGTTAACCTCTTTTCATACCTGCATACTTGAACTTGTCTTCAGTGTGGGGGCCTTAAAATTCATAATAGATAGTAGAGGCTGTGAAAGGGAGTGAGAGAAGGAAATTGTGGCAAAAGATGGTTTGGAAATTTAAACTCTTTAAATGAACATATCATAAAACATTGTTGAGACCCAAGGTGTCAGTTAGCATTGTTTCTAGGCAACCTTGATTTGTAGTTCATATATTTTCTTAGTTATATAATTTTATTTTCATATTTGCTAAGAAAAATACAAAACAACATGATACCCCTATACAATTGCTCTGTGTATTAATATTTTTTAATACATCTCCTTGGTCCATCTTTAAGTAGAAAGAGTACTCATCAAATTAAGATTGTCATCAACTTTTCTACTGTTAACCTCACTGCAATCTTTAAAGTATGAAGTGTTAAAATCCCGTAATGCTTTTGTCATCCTTTCATTTCTTCCATGTTGATGATGTTTTCTCTGTATGGATTCACAGTTGATGAAAATTGGATAACTGAACATATAAGTTATCATAGGAAGCAAACCAAACTGTGAAGAAACATGTTTATAATACCTAATGCTAGGTCTGAAAAACAGTATGTCTAAAAGTCTTAATGTTTAAATGCGGCTGGTTTGCAAATTCAAATTTTGTTAATCTTTGATTTCTGTGGATGCCAAGAGCATGACTTAGCAACTTATTGGGTAGGAATATTCATTATCTTGGACTCTGGTGTAATGGAACAAACCATAACAATGTTCAAATAAATGCTTATGTAATCCTTATTTCTTTTATATTTCTGCCTTTGTTTTTTATAGCAATGTTGCATGGTGGTTATTTTTTTTTATTATATAAAACTCATCCTTAAATGACTGTGGGACACTTTATAAGAAATTATGTAATAAAATCTGTTTCATTAGTTCTTTATATCTTTAAATACTGCAATACTTTAACTGTGAACTAGGGTCCTTACTTTGTGTGTAAGTTGCAATGAATTATCTCTTCTTTTAAATTATAATCACGATCAAACCAGTCAATATAGGAGCTGTTAGACAAAAGAATACTTTTTTATTGTTGAGTTAAGCAATCGAGTTAGTCAAGATAGTAACATATGTTTATATGGGCTGGAAATTCAGCATTCACAAATTTCTTTTTAAAAGTTTCATCGTTTATTAAAAGGGTCTTTATCCAATGAAACACATCCTCCAATACCAACTGTCTCCATCTACTTTTAAATAATTTAATCCCAAATGCTCCACGTAATTGAGGGATATTATGGGAAGACTAGCTAGTATCTCAGCATGCCATCTTAAGGGCTGTAACTCCCACTTCCCATGGAAAAATATATAAATAATAGTGAATAGCACTGAGTTTTGGGGAGTCATTGTTTCATGTGCAACTTTTGTTTCTTTTGATAGATCTAAACTGTTTGCAGAGAGATGGTAGAAAATGTTAGTAATGGTTTTAGAGTGGTTTGGACACAGATACTTCCTCACTTAAAAATTAGAAGGAATTAAGCTGAGAAGAACACAAAGTGGCTGGCCTCTAGCTTTTCAATATTTTGTAAGTGTTCTTGATTCTGTCTGAACACTTACATTTCTCAACAAATGGCTATGTCTATATTTATGTAGGGGCCTCTCTTGCCCTCTTTGCATGTAACTTTCACACAGTTTTAAATGAAATCAGTGTGAATTCTGTATGCATATGGGATATGTTACAGATGTGGGATCATTAACGCTATATTGTTGCAAACTATTTTTCATATGCCTTACACTATTTTCTGGGATGATATT